GATAGTAAGTTTGCGTCTATCACCTTGACGCAGTCTGCGCTTCCGCTAATCGCGTAAATAATTTAATAATAATAATAATTTAGTTTCTTTCCTCGTTTTAATTACAGTATATATCTATATAACTGCAGCATGCTGTACTTGAGCTTTTTGTAACGAATAAATTATTGTTACTTGATTGGTTAGAATTTTTCTAATCAAATAATTTGTGGAATACTAGAGGTTCGTTCGTTTCTTTTTAAATAAAATGGTGTGCAGTGTAATTGCCATCTAAGTTCGATTATAAGTATACAAAACATACTACTTGTAGAATAAGTAGTAAAACTAAGTAGAATAACAATCTTTTGAATATATTTTTGTAGCAAAGTAACAGAAAGGTAAACAAATTTAAAGTATTCACCCAAATGTACAAAGTAAAAAATAATAAATAACATTTGGCGCCTAGTTTTGAGGGTTATTATAAATATATATATATATATATATGAAATTTCGTGAAAAACAGATTGAAGATAGGTTAAAAAGTTAAAATTAGAACGGAGAACGAAACTAAATTGTTTCAAAACATGTTTCGTTTTATTAAAAACGCTTCAGTTGAAATAATATAAATGATGATTTTCCGTTATTCAATTTCGGTTTTAAAAAGCTGTTTTTGGCGTCTTTGGCTGGCGTCACAATTTAGAGGCATGATTTATAGATAGAATAAGCCCTTACGAATGTATAACGAACGAATATGTTCGTTTACTTTGAGTATTGTGACTGGTGCTCCTTTGTATTTAAGAGCAAATGTACATACACTGAGGCTACGATCTTTCACCCTCACCCTGGATACCTAGATATTAAGAGATTTGACTCTTGAAAGATATACTAAACAGTTACGATTACTTGTAACTGGTCGTTACCGTTACTTGTACGGTAACTGCTTACAAGAACGGTAACCGACCAGCAATTACAGTTACGGTAACGATAATGGTAACTGTCACAGCCCTAAGCGTGAGTGACATATAATATAGGATTATATGTTACTACTATGATAACTTGAATGCTGACTTAACATCAGCAGTTTAGAGTATGAATTCATAACCCTGCTAGTGAAACAAACTACTGTAATAGAAAAAGATCGTACATAAATTCTTTCAAAATGCATGCTAATCTGTCGCAATTAGCGTGCAAATTGCAGTCAAGTAGTGCACAGTGGACAACAATGTGGACATTTCTAGGTCAGATACTTGGGGAGGAAACTAAGAACCAAATATTTTTCGAAAAACAGACCGGTAATGTACAAAAATGATTTCTGGCAAAACCAAGTACGATATTTGGAAAAATTATACATAGAGCGATACTAGGTCTTTCACTCTGTCTATCTATAAAAAGAAAATTTTTGTAGGACGCTTTATAACCGAGAAAATAATTATTCTTTCGAGGCGAAGTGGTTTTCGAAGAGCATACGTCAGTATAGTGAGTGCGCACATTTTAGCACAGCTCCAAATTAAATGAAATTTTTTCCAGATGTTGTTCTATACAATATCAGTGGACACAGTTAGCGAAAACTAGTGAAAGTTTTCTATCCGGAGTTATAGTTTTTCCAAAAAATCCTCGGTTTTTCTGGCTATTTTCTCATTTCTCAAGCTAGATTCGTTCAAAATTCGATATAAGTAACATATTTGGAATCAGCGTGAAAAACTGCATTGAATGGTATATAATTCAAAACATTTTTCTACAGAAAAGTTTTCAGTCACACTGAACCGTAGCGTAGGAGAACTACCGCAGCAAATTTTCACTATGCATGTGGACATATGCTGTAGAGGTGGTAGATAGGTCCAGAAAAAATTATTTTAGGATTTCGGAACTCTCACCATTGAAAAGAGCATATTCAAAAACCTTATACGTATTACCATCACCGTTATAGAAAGAAGAATTGATGAAAAGAAAATTAATGAAACGTTTCTTTAAATGACAGATGAGAAAAGGAGAAGAGCTCTCTCTGGTAAATCAATGCTTTTTATTGGAACTTGACACTTAATTAACAGCTGCTATCATTCTCTTCTAAAAAATGATCACCATCCTCATCTGAAAGTTTCTGTGTTCACCAACATGAGAGTAACAAATATTTGTTCTGGTGCTTTAGTTTCATATGATCGTTGTCTAACTAAGTTTTCTGTGTTATTTAGCTTTTTTTATTGTTATAATCAATATTGCATTACACTTAACTAATACTGTACATCGTCCAACATGAACAATTAAAAGCGCGAAATAAAAAAGTAGAATGAAAGCAATATTCCATATTCCACACACTGAGCACGATCATCAAGAACATAAACCTTAGCATTTTTAAATGAATTTTGTTTTGATATAACGTTTTTAATATAAATTTTGTTTCGCGAAACATTGGTATAGGTAATATTAATGCTGATAAATTTATACGCAGAATACATTTTAATGGCATTGTCAATTTATAGTATTGTTTCGCTTTTGCTGAATAACACACAGTAGTGGCGAGAATTATAAGAGCATCTGTTCGAATCCAGTTGTTTGCTCGCTCTCGACTGATTTAAACTCTTGAGAAAAGAACTGTCTATGTGACTATTGTCTGTCCAAAAATTCAGTGGAGTCGGATATTTTTTGCATAACTCAGCATCAAATAAAGCTAGATACTTGCGATTTTCATCATTCAATAGCCAAGACTTGAGGCTATCTTTCCACAAGCAAAACAATTTTTAGAAAAAATTTTGAAGCCGGTTTTCCAGAGGTCCTTTGGCTCTTCGCTTGGATTTTCCGTAATTCAAATAGGAATCTATTGATTTTTTTTCATAGATAGATAAAAGTCCAAAGTGTCCTGTACAAGATGGGATCCAAGCAAAAGTTTCATTTTGCTCAGCCCGGGAACTCCGAAGGTTTTGCCAGAAGTAGTAAGTTTTTTTGTTTGTTGTTTTACTTAGCAAAGAGACATCCTAGGCTGTCGAGCTCAGAGTTGTAACCGGGCCGGTGTAAAAGTTTAGACCGGCCGGTATCCACCGGTCTTTTGCCGGTGTAGAAAGATTTTCAAACCGGTCAGTGATTGACAGGTTTTTTGTCGGTTTTGAAATTCTGAGCATTTTTGTCTTCTTCACTAAAACAAAATAAGTTTTTCTACCCTCTTGTCTGTCTAAAAAATATTAATATCTAGCGTCTTTTCCGCAGAGCGATTGATGGCAAAACAGTCAGGATTCTCTATGTTGTTCACATCTTTCCAGTCCGCTCTTCTAGACGTACACAGCAAACAGTCAGCTCTTCCTAGTCCTGATTCTATAGTTCGCTTTTTTAAATCCTTCATGCTATTTTCAACAATAATTTTAACATTGTAAGTCCTGTTTTTATATTCAAAAGAAGTGCCTACTTCGCGTAATCGTTTTTCTTCTGGCTCGAAAGTACCGTTTCATTATTCCACAAAACTTCTATGGCATCAGATCTCAAAGGCAAAGGCACAAACATCACCGAAAACTCTCGGTTTGGAATTCGCAAAACTGGGCTTAAAAACGTTTTGCAACAGTCCAGCTGATTTCTGAAAATATCAACATGAGTTTTGAATGCTATAGTCTCATGGAGCTTTATTTCATTGAGAGAAGTGTCTATGTCGCTAGTTTTATACAGTTGTTTACCAAATTCGGTTAACTTTTTATTATTTTGGTAGTTACGTTGTTGTAAAAGGAAACCGATTACTTGATTTACATTCAAATCATTTGACGTTGCAAAACCATCTAGCAGTTCGTTCAAATCTAGCAAACGATTCTTTTTTTGGCGATCTCCTAGTTTCTCAAAGTGTTTACTTCTCCTTTTAGGTGGTTTAGGGCGCTGTTTTAAATCTTTTAGTTCAAGAATAATTTTAGAAAACTCATTAACTCACTGTTCGTTGGTCCTTTTGCGCCACAAATCAAACTTAGACTTTTTCACAGTATGATATTACAGTAGGTTAGAGATCAATTTCTTATTATCTCCTTGCATTGAGTGCTGTTTCTGCTGATCTATTATGATGTTGAAGCTGTAACGCACATTACTAAAATAAGTAATGAGAACAGCCGAAAGTCTGCTTTTTACTATCTTCACTTCTGATGCTATTTATTTTTTTTACAAATTTGTGAAATAATCAAGAATCACACAATATCCAACGCATTAAAAATGAGGAAGAATCAAAAGAGTAGAAAAGACAAGCTGCTCACAAAAACACACACTTCTGTCATCGATCTGACAAAACATTTTATAAGAAAATAATGATCTAGTAGCAAGCAGAATAACACGAAAAATAAAAATAAAGAAATCTTTCGAAAGCTAACAAAGTGTTTGCAAATTACTATTGTTGATTACTTTGATTTGATTCAGCAGGCGTGATCTAAACGATGAGGAATAAGCATGCGAAAATTACAGGAGTTTTTGCACATGTACGATAGATTGTCACTCACCAGAAACAAACGATCTTCTTGTTGAATCACTAAGCATTTACGCCCTTCTACGGTGTAGTCGTTCACAATGCATAGCGTCTGTACAGTGGTAACAGAACCCTAAAAAAAGATCAGTATCATCGTCGTCTTCATGTAGAACTGATTATGAACTGGATTTGTTTTTTTAATTTAGCTTATCAGTTTCATCATTTTGTTCATCGTTGATTTCGACCGATTTTTGTTTTTTTTCTTTCAACTTTCTTCTTCTAATATTTTTTGACAAATGATTCCAGCAACGAAGTTGTTGAAGTGTTGGAAATACTTCTCGAAAACTTGTTTCAAATGCTTGTTCATTGTCTGTCACCAATACTGTCTTTTCTTCAAATAGTGGGCAAGTATCTTTTAACCATCGAACAAATTGAATATGACTAGTCAATCGCTTTGTTTCGTGCACAAGATAGGCAAGAACAATTGTGGATTCATTTTTGAAACCCACGTGCCGATAAACTAACGGATTAAAACAAAATTTAGTGTATCGAAGGCTTGCCCGAAAAAGGCTTAACTTACCTAACATAACTGTCAGTAAGATTAAGCGTGGTGTCATACGATAATAACACTTTTGATGATGCTGATTTTAATAGATTATTAAACAATTTAGTTGATTCTTGGTGAGCACAAATGATGATTAAATGGGGTTTCAGTAAGTATTGATGAATAAATGGTGAAGCGAATGGCATTGTAAAGTTCATCCACACCCAGTAGCAATCGGCGTAAAAATTCTGTTCGTCTATTTTCTTATTTTAACTTGAATAAGTTGAATGATAACTTTATTCAGAATAAGAGCACAGAGAGCGAGGTGAGAGATGTAAATAGAACTGCGTGTACTTATTTTGATCTCAAATTCTAACTAATTTTGAGATGTATTGCATCCCCAGGTCCAAGAAAACGGCACCGTTAACGGCCCGTTAACTGGTCGTTAACGGTAAGTTAACGTGCCGTAAACGGACCGTTTTTAGTTCCTAAACGGACCGTTTTCAGAACCTAAAACTCGTAACGT